AGTACATGTGCCAGACATTCGGAACCCTCGCCGCACATTCTGCATGTGACATTATTCTTGTCTGTTGTTCCCGTCTTGTAGGCGGAGTAGACTCTAATATTATTATTATCATCATCATTATCATTGACACTTTATTGAGTTTGAATTTACATGGTAAACAGCGCAGCGAAATAGCGAAATATTATTATTATTATTATTATTATTTTCATTATTATTAATAGGAAATAGTATCCCATTCATACTCTCTTGTAGAATATTATCCATACCGAGGTTGAGAAAAAAACTAGGTCGAGTTAGCATAGCAGTGCTTTATAGGACTGTCTTGGGTGACGAAATGGACGCCATCTTGAAAATATATCCCCTCAAACAGTCCCACAATTCACTGCGATGCCAACTCGACTCGGTGTTTTTCTCAACCTCACAAAAGACTTACAGAGATCTGGAAACCACTCTTCGATGAGAGTATCCACGTGATCAACCAAGGTACTCAGTAGGCACACTCCATTGTCGTTTGATGGTACTACAATAGCCAGCACGTTGTGTCCAAATTGAGTAGTAGGATCTTGAAATACGGAGAAAAATGAATGCGTCGTCCAACTGACTTGAATACCATCACACCAGTAGTCTATACTTGGAGACTGCAACAATAATAATATTATCTGATTGGTTGATTCCCGTGGTATATAGGATGCCATACCACGGTAATTGCTGCGCATCTACCGCGGGATTTTAAAAGCAAAACTTCCAAATGCACATAAGTCATCGACTTGGCAACAATCTAAGTCTAACAACGTTAACAATAAACATTTTAATGAAGACAAAGTTGGATCAAGAAGAAATGACAAAAGACAACAACATGGCGGCCATGTTGTTGGTATCAACAAGGGAAGCTAATGAAAAATATTTTGTTAAATATCACCAACATGGCGGCAACGACATAACGTGCAAATAATCTATAGAGCCCATTTCCTAATTCACTTGTTACTTCTCCCTAGATTTCTGAAAACATGTTAGATTGTAAAATCGTGTAAAATTGTTTTCACTGTTCAGTTTGACCGCAAGATTAACGTCACATACAAGGGGGTCTACAATAGAGGGCTATTATCTTCCAACACCATCCCCACCCCCCTCAGGTTTCATTTTGTCTCACCTCGTAACATGTTTCTGTCCCCACCCCCTCAGGTTTCATTTTCACTAGCCTCGTGACGGTTTCCCCGTGACATGTCTCTGTCCCCACCCCCTCAGGTTTCATTTTGTCTCACCTCGTAACATGTCTCTGTCCCCACCCTCTCAGGTTTCATTTT